CTGGCAGGTGTAGACAAGCTCCACATCCTAACCTAGTGTTTTGCATTGTTTTTCTACCAGAGCTTCCAACATGGCCTGTGCTCTCCGTCAAGTGAGGCCCGTTGGTTCCTCCCGGCACCACCCTCACTGCAGCGCGCAGGGTACACGCACCACTGCCCCGTAGGCACGTGCGGTGGGATGAGCCAAGGACCGAACCTGATTACCGAGCAACAGCCCTGCATAGGACCAGCGCCTCTCCTGGAGCTGGGTCATACCCACACCCTCCCAGCGCAGTCCCGCCTACGCATGAGCAGAAAGTCCTCGCGAATTTGTGGGAATCGTAGTCCAGCCCGTAGTCCCGCCCGTCGCCCCGCCCCCAGCACGCCCGGACTCCATTTCCCATGGAGCTCTGGGCGGCCGACTTCCGGCGCAGGTACGGGTCGGCACACGCGGCCTCGGTCTGGTTGACTTTGCAGAGCCATGGAGGGCGGTTTCGGTTCGGATTTCGGGGGCTCTGGCGGCGGCGGCAAGCTGGACCCGGGGCTTATCATGGAGCAGGTGAAGGTGCAGATCGCCGTGGCCAACGCGCAGGAGCTTCTGCAGGTCCGGGGCTGGGGTGGGGGCCAAGGGCGACGGGGTCCGCCTGGGGGCGGGCATCGCGGCTGAGGGCTCGCGTGTCCCCACAGAGGATGACGGACAAGTGCTTCCGGAAGTGCATCGGGAAGCCGGGAGGCTCCCTAGACAATTCGGAGCAGGTGAGACCCGCAGCATTGGTGGGGGCCGCGGACCGGGACCGGCAGGGGTATCCTATGTTCGTGCCGCGTACTAACGGGGGGATGCAGTCGGGCCGCTGCCTGGGGTTGAGGGCGCCCGTCGTGTGGGAACCCGAGCTGAGCCGCGCGCCTTCCCCGCCTCCAGAAGTGCATCGCCATGTGCATGGACCGCTACATGGACGCCTGGAACACCGTGTCCCGCGCCTACAACTCTCGGCTCCAGCGGGAACGAGCCAACATGTGACCTGGACGCGCATGGCCTGTCCCAGTCTGCAGGCCGCCTCCACCCTCACCCCTTGCTCCATTTCCATAAATGCTTTTTGTGAGGCGGGGGCTTGCGTGTGCGGGCTGCCAGCCCTTGGTTTATGAGAATAAGGCTGGTGCTGGGACAGTTGGGACTCTGCCCTTCCCTTCGCCCAACCCACCTCCCACTGCCAGCGAGTGTAGCTGGGGACTTGGGGGCCCTGGGACTTCCCAAAGTGCTGGCAGCCCGGTGGCACCTCCCCTGGTGTGCCCGTCCACCTCACGCCCTGGGTCATAGAATCCTCGTGTGGACCTGGGGGAGGGGGTTTGTGTGTGGTCAGACCCACCTGAGCTGTGACCTCCTGGGGGTGGGTTGATAAATTGCTGAGTGGGGGTGGTGGAGAGAGCCCTGTGACTCTTCCCTGCAGGGGGCCTTCGAGAGAGAAGGTTGCCCAGATTCAGCCACCCTGGCTATCTTTCCCCTCGATGCTACTGTGTTCCATGGATGATGGGGGCTGTGTTCACACAGAAGGGAACCTTGAAGATGAGGCTGAACGCCCAGCCCCAAAGTCTGGGGGGTAACCCTCTCCCTGGGAGGCCTTGCTCTCTGTACTCCATTCTTCCTCCCGTCTCTGGGCCCTGGGTGACAAGCAGGCAAGTGGTTCTGGCTGTGATATGGAGGTGCTGAGCCAGCAAGCTAGGGACAAGGAGCTGTTTATTGGAGCGCAATACGCAGTAAAACTGCACCCGCTGCCCTCCCACCACCTGGACTCCCATCCTTGGGCTGGGTGGCCAGCTGGTTCCTACTGCTTTCATATCTCTCCTCTCAGGCCTGGGCAACCTCAGGGCGGTCACTCCTGGATGTTCTGTCCGATCCAGCCTCTTACGGCAGCCACCCTGGTGTAGACACCAGGGAAGTGGGGCCGTCCGCAGCCATAGCCCCAGCTGGTGACCCCAGTTAGCACCCACCGTCCGGAGGGCTCCCGGCAAGCCAGGGGTCCCCCAGCATCACCCTGAAGGGAGGAGAGAGGAAAGGCACTCAGAGAAGACCAGTACCACCACTTGATTAGTACGCCCTGGGTGGCTGGCCACCACACAAGTGTTGCCTGGGGCCCCTGTGTGACCCCAGATAAGTAACTACCCTTTTGAACCTCACTTTTATAATATCTGGGAAATGGGTTCAATGTCAGGATGAGCCATCTCATCTGGCTGGCAGACTTGTGGACACCTGCCGCTGTGGTCCCCAAGCAGAACAGTGCCTCACACTGCAGCATGTCCCTGTCCCTCCTCTGCAGGTCCAGGGGAAGGGATGGCGGAGTGGGTGGGAACTGGCTCATGACAGACGCCCATGCCCAATAAACGGTGGTTGAGTGAAAACTTGGAGGCGGAGGAAGTGCCCTGCTTGATCAGCTCAAGTTTGCACCGGAGAGTGAGGCTTGGCTGATGGGCTTTAGAATTACCGGAACCTCACCCTCCTTCCCGATGGGTGGGATCTGGGCACCGCAGAACCCCTATTTCAACTGCAGAGTGCACTCACGGAGCAGCTGTCCACGCCGCCGTGCGGGAAGCCGGCGCACAGCATGCGGCTGCTGATCTGCACCGGATAGTAGCGGCGACAGGCCTGCTCGCTGAGGAGGCGCACCGCTGCTTTCTGCAGCTGCCGCGCCATGGAGCCTGCAAGCGAGACGAACCGGTGGGGCTGGGGGCCTTCCCGACGCCCCCGGGCCCTTAGTCCCCGAGGGTGCAGGGACCCGACCACGCGTACCTCCTTCACGCACCGAGCCCCAGCCAGTGATGATGCAGCGCGCGCCATCGAGGGGTTGGGGTGCGGGCTCCGGCAGGCAGATGGGTCGCACCAGGCGGTTACGGCGCACAGGCGCCGCCAGCTCAAGCAGCGCCACATCGTAGTCGAGCGTGTAGAGGTTATAGAAGGGATGCTTGTAGATACGCGCCACACGCTCCAGCTGCCCGTCGGCGCCGCTCAGGAACGGAGTGCCCAGGAAGGCTGCCCACTGCTTGGGGTCCCCGTAGCTGCAGGGCGCGTGAGGTCAGATATTGGCCTGGAGCCCTGCACCATGGCCCCCGCCCGCCTGAGGCTCCCCTGGACTCGGCCCGGTGGTGCTGTGTCCAAGGTCTCGCCTGTGCCTCCAGCGGTCGTCTTGGGACCTTGGGCAGGGCACTTGACCTCTTTGGGCCCCAGGTTGCTCAATGAGTCTGAGTTGTCCCTTCCTGGGACAGTGAGAGGTGCCCATGTCGGAAATGCGCCCACTCGGGCAAGGAGGTGACACCACATGTCGTCTTCATTTCTGCCCAATATTAGGGCTTTGGTGGTCAGAGGGGCCCCGCGAGGCGCAAAGTGCGCATTCAAGACTTGGGCGTCTCCATGGAGGGCAGGGTCCCTTGCCTGCTCAATTTACTGAGCAGCCTACCAAGAAGGGGACTCCCCAGTGTGTGGAGTGGGGTGGGGCAAAGATGGAGATGTCCCGCAGTTCCCCCAAGATGCCTGACCCTGGGCAGGGAGGCTGCGGCCCCGGGTTTGGTGGGGGCCCGGGGGCGGACTGGGCCCCTGCATTCCCCTATGGTCAGGCTCGGGGTCGGGGAGGATTCCAGGCAAAGACGCGGAGGCATGACATAGTAAGTTTTCGGGCCACAGGTTGGTTCGGTGAACCACAGACGGGCTGAGGCATTGGGGGCGGGCCGGACTCACACGTCGAAGCAGTGCGCCGCAGACAACAGCCACCTCTCAGCGACCAGCACGGCCCCGCAGCGGTGCTCCCGGCGCCGCAGCCACAGGCTCACCTGCCACGGCCACTCCCCGCGACCCGCGGCGCTGCCACCCACGATCCTGGTCAGTGCTGCCACTGGCGCCAGGCCGCAGTCTGCTGGACGGGACGGGGAGCGCGGGTTGGCGGGTGGATACACGGGGCCTCCTCCACGCAGCCCCTTGAGTGGAGTAAGGGACACGCCTCGAAAAGCCTTGGGACTCCCCAAAGCCACTGCCCGGGAGGACCTTGCCGGGTCCCATCAGCTCCTGCGCTAACCTGTCTTCTTAGACGTTCTCCACCCACACACCCAGCACAAGGTGCACCTTCAGAACACAACTGTAGAAAGAACAAGGTGCTTTCAAGAGGATGCTGCAAAGGACCCATTCTCACCCAGCGGGGGTACTCCTACCCACCTAATCCCCACAGGGCATTTTCCAACTCTGGAGCTGGGCCCCTTCCCCAGCACTCTTCCACCACCCAGTACTGCCTGACTCCCCTGTACTGCAGCTTTGGGAAAGGCCCTCCTGTCCCAGCGTCAGCTGGAAGGAGGGAGGGGGAGACAAAAGGCCTCCTGCCCAGTCCCGCCAGCCCCACCTCCTCCATCTTCCTGACACCATCTGGACCTTGCCCAGAACCAAGAGGCCTGGCGAAGCTGCAGCCCCTCCTCCTGGAAACACCACCCCCACAATGGACAATGCTGCCATTTCAGGGGCTTCCTCCACCTCTGGGCCCCCAAGTTAAGAACTTGCAGCCTGTAGCTACTAGAAAAGTGAAAATCGTCAGGCTGGAGGCCCAGACAAAGTCAGGAGTTAACAAAAAACTGTTTCACCTAAGAATGGGCTAACTATAAAGTATCAAACAACTGGTCTCCCAGGGCCTGGCTGGAAACCTTGTGCCCTAAACTCATACTGGCAGAAACTGTTGTCACCAAGCAGAGCTATGTGAACGAAAGGGCCCCCTCAGGCCTGAAGGTCTAAGTCGCCGAGACTGCCTGGATTTCCAGTCCAGGAGCAGGGCTCAAACAAGGGGCTTCTGGACTCCACCCGTCACCTCTAAACTGTGGTTTCCAAGGAGACAGGACCTGGGTCCTCTTTACCCTCCAGATCCACGTCCAGGCCCTTGGCACATGGTCTGTTTTGCTCTGAGCCCATCGAAATTGCTTCATCTAAGTCACCTACACCACACTCTGCCCCCAGGTCCCATGACAACCTGACTTCCATTGTTTGGTGAGCGACCCCTGGTTCCTTTGGGCTGCCTCATTGCAAAGAGCCCATAACCTTATGGTTCAGGTCTGTGTCTGGGTGACTTAGGCTGCTGGGACCAGGACACTGTATGAACATATGCAGCGGGGAAGGGAAAAACACCCTCATGACATGGCATGAAGGTCAGGATAGGGCAGTGGGATTATGTGGTTTCCCCCCAACTTCTTTGTAATGGGGTTAAGTTATGCACACACACCCCTGAGCTGAAGGACACTGGGGGCTTAGTGGAGGCCCAGGGAAGGGGACTGATGATGGAGGACAGAGGCAGAGTCATTTCCCTGGATCAGTCTCTGTAGGGAGTCACTGGAGGGAACGACAAGTACCAAGACACTGGGGAGTTCTGGGCAAGTCCACAGTGAGTAGGAAGATGAGTGCAGCCTGCAGAGACCAGCAGCTCTCTGTGCTGAGCACCTGCTCCCTTCGGTGGCCCCCAGAAGCAGCATGATCCCAGCACCCCTGCCTCCCCACTTCAGTGGAGCCAGACCAGACATGACCCCCAGAATCTGGATGTGAGCGCACCAAGTTCAGGTCTGCTGGGGCTGTGTGCCCAGAGGCAGAGGCAGGGGGTGGGGTCGCTTGTGGCCCAGAGCCAGGCTGGGGTGGGGGTAGGGGGGGCAGCACCTTCTGCTGGGCCCTGCCCACTTTCATCTTTTCCCAGAGAGCCCCTTCCTCTCTACTGAGCTCCGCTTGCGTGGCCATTCTGTCCCTCAAAACCAAGATGAGGGGGATGGGGGTTCACCAGGCACACCCCATGTCATGCAGAAGCCAGAGTGCTTTCTCTCTAGTCCCATAGACAGTACAGATGGCTTTTGCCTTAGCTGGAGCTACATGACATTGCCTGTATCTGATGGGGCTTTGAACTACAAATGTAGCAATTTCACAAAGCTCTAATAGTAAAAGTGAACCCGGCATTTTCAACGTGAGTGGAAAGATCTTGGTACATTTTCTTTCAGTGTCTCTACCAGCCAGTTAGGCCTCCCCTGCACCCACAGCCCATAGCAGGGAACTTGGGGACCAGCTGACCCTGTGCCCCAGCTTTGTCCTGCATTGTCTTTAACTCCTGACTCCTGTCATTCTATTAGGTGTGTGTTTCTTCAGTACCTGGCTCCCTGTTGCACCCAAACTTAGCACGGGGCCTGGCAGAGAGGAGGGCTTTGTGAGCACGGGATGAATGGACGGACAACTGCCCTAACAGAGACCCCTGCCCAGGGACTCCCTGTGCCCTGAAGTCTCCTTTTTACAATGGGAGCAGACAGGTTACAGGATAAGGTGTTTGCCACTAGACAGTGTAAGTCTGCCCAATCAGTGCCCGTGTCCCTGGCTGTCAGTACCAATGATGGGCTAGACTGTGTCCCCCCGCAAATCCAGAAGTTGGGAGTCCTGACCCACAGGACCTCAGGATGTGACTGTATGGGAAATGGGGTCTTTACAGGGTTGATCAAGGTAATGTGAGGTCACTAGGGTGGGCCCTGATTCAATCTGACTTGTGTCCTTCTAAGAGGAGATCAGGACACAGACACGCACAGAGGGACAGGGACACAGGGAGAAGACGACGTCCACATGCCAAGGAGAGAGGCCTCAGAGGGAACCAGTCCTGTTGACATCTTGACCTCAGATTCCAGTCTCCAGGACTGGGAGAGAACAAATGTCTGTTGTTTAAGTCACCCAGACTGTGGGACATGGTGACAGCAGACCTAGCTGACCGATACGGGACCCCCACATGTGTGACTGCATTCCTCTGTTACCTGGTAGCTGGGAGCCCATGGTGGTCCATGGCACATTTGGAAGTGGCGTGTGCCCCCTAGCAGTGGTGCTCATAGCAGTGGCGGTCCTATTGGCAGGTTGGCTGGTGGCCCGGAGGGTGGGTCTGCTGGCTGTTACACCCAGGACTGTGAAGCCTGCTGTTGTCCTGGGAGCATAGCTGCTGGTGGCAGGTGTCCTTGTGGTGGAGGGGGCAGGTGTGGGGAGGGGCTGGGAGGACATGGTGTCCAGGATCCAGTCCTTCAGCCTGGTGATTCGTGTGTACACTCCGGGTTTCTTGGCCTGAGCACAGCCGATCCCCCAGCTGACAATCCCCGCCAGATAAAACACACCAGGGGTCTCCTCACAGGCCAGAGGTCCCCCAGAATCACCCTAAAAAAGAAGGAAAGAGGGCTTGCTGTGACCATCTGACGCCCTCTGCAGAGACTGCTGCCAGGCTCTCCTGGGTCCTCACAATGGGAGAGACCCATCAGTGGGGCAGGAGAACACTGCCTGGGGACACACGGACACAGGTACTGATACAATTCCGCCCCCACCCAGTGCCCCACCTCCCTGGGAGTAGCACTCGTCATCTTATTGGACAGCATGGTCAGTATTGTGTACTCATCTGTGGTTAGCTTTTCCAGTTAGCACGTACTGTGCATCTTTAAACGCAGTGCATGTATTTGTATGGCTCTACCTTGTACTTTGTAAGTGGCTCCCTATCTGCTCGCATCGGAGAACTGTCAGTTCTCCAGATTACACATTTCAAGACATTGGGTTCATCCCAGATTCTCCCTGCTCAACTCTGCTGCACTGAAAAGCCTTTTCCTTCTGTCCTTGCGTCTGCACAAGTAGCGTTGCTGGGTGGGAGGGTGTGGATACTGCGTTGGGATATCCCCAATCCTGTCTGTGAACGCTACCTGGCAGGAGTCCACCTTGCCCTCCAGGAAGCCGGCACAGAGCATCCTGTCCGTCAGCGAGAAGTTGTAGAGCACGCTGCACACCTTCTGATCTATGATGCCCACGGACGCTTGCTGAAGAGTGTCAGGCTTCGTTGCTACAGAAAAGGAGACACCCCCCACGCCATTTATAGAGTGATCACCATTCAATATCCACATTAGCTCTGACAACAGCTTGAGCGTGAGGTACCATCCCAATCCTGCAGGCGAAGAAACTGAGGCTCACAGCGAGAAGGAGATAGAGCCCAGGGACCCAACTTGGAGCCCTAGAATCTCACCACTGTCTCCAGCACCTTGGGTGGCCTGTGGGGAAGCCACTCTGAGGTTTCAAAGGAAGCATTTATTCTTGAAGGCTCTGAAGGGTATATCACAAAAGGGTCTTCCAAACTTTTTCTAGAAAGGGCTACAGAGTAAGTATTTTGGGCTTTTACAAGCCAGTCTCTGTCAGGATTGCTTTAGTAGCAGGAAAGCGGCCCCAGGCCATCTGTAAACCGAATGGGCGTGGCTGTGTGCCAACCAAACTTTATTTATAAAATGCAGCCACATTGGACCTGTGGGCCAGAGTTTGCAACTCCTGGAGGAGTGCAGAAGCAAGTGGTCTGCAGGTGGTAGGAGCAGAGACCCCGCCAGGAACTCACCATTTCCCTCCTGCATGTTACCCCAGCCAGAGATCATGCACTTGCGGCCTGCAGGGAACTTCTGGATGGCCAGGGGCAGGCAGATGGGCTGGATGTACTTGTTGAAGACCAGGGGCCGGGCCAGCTCCAGGACAGCCACGTCAAAGTCCAGGATGCTGGGGTTGTACTGGGGATGCAGCACTGCCCTCTTGAGCCCCATTTTCACTGGGCTCCCACCAATGCCCGTGAGGGACACGGTGCCCAGGTGGGCCCGCACCAGCTCCACCTTCGTGCTGCTGACAAGGGGCTGCTCAGAAACTCCTGCTGCCCCCAGGGGGCCAGGTAGAGTTACAGGGCCCAGATTCTGGGGAGGGGCACCAGGAGGATGAGGGGGGCACACAGCCTCTCCCCAAAAGCGGTCCCAGGCTGGAGGACCAGGGGCAAGGCAGGGAGCCCCTTTGGGCCTCATTTGCTTTTCTGTAACAAGAGGGAATTGGCCCAGCGGCACCAGAGGCCCTTACAGCTTTATGACTCGAAGACTGAAGCCATCTGGCTGTGCAGCTAAGGGGAAGGAGCACTTGGCACACACCCACTACCCCCAGTTGGCCCCTATTTGTCCCCCAAAGACCAGTTCAACAGATTGTCCTCCCAGAAGTGGCAGCCCAGGCCTGGGTCCTTGAGATGACTCCCCCAAGGCTCCCCACTTCTCCTTCATGTTCTACCCTCTCATTTGCCATTGGACATCCAGAGGCCCTGGGGTGGGGTGGGTGGGGTAGGAACCGGGGGCGGGGGCTGCCTCTACTGTGGCCTCTACTATACATCTATCATATAGATGGCCACATGCTTGGTCATAAGTGGTTTCTGAATGCATGAGGATTTGATGGGGCTGGGGTGGGGACCCCGTGATGATGGGGCAAGCTGAGCAGCCCTTCTGGCTCGAGGCAGGTCTTACTGGTTGAAGCAGTGGGCTGCCGACAGCAGCCAGCGGTCCCCTACCACTGTCGCTCCACAGAAGTGCCGGGAACCTTCCTTCAGGCTGACTTGCCAAGGCACCTCCCCAGCAATGGCTCCTAACCCCCCCACGATCCGGGGAGGTTTCTCCATCGCCGGCCTGGCCCCACACTCTGTAAGGGACAAGAGAGGAGGGTCTGGGTATCTTAGTTCAGAGCAAGAACACCTGGACCCAGAGGGCTCTTGGGACACTGGGGTGCAGCCTCCTGGCTCTGCCTGGGCTGGGGCAAATTGCCCCCATTATGCAGATGAGGAAACCCAGGCTTAAAGGTGTCTTAAGGTCTCACAGCAAGTAAGTGACACAGCTGGGGAGTATAGGTTAAAAAGGATAAGATAAAATTATAGAGCACCCTGGCCCCATCAGCCTAAGCCTTGCCAGACACAGGCCTACAGCCCCCAAGGTCAGGTTTATGGCTGGCTTCAAGGGATGGGGATACCAGAACCATGGGGCAGTTCACCAAACAAAGGGAGAGTCAGGTTATTATGAGATCTGGGGACAGGGTGGGATGTAGGTGACATTTACATAAGGCCAAGTTTTGATGGGCTCAGAGCACTGCAGGTTTATGGGACCATACAGGAAGATCAATATCAGATCTGAGCTGTGACTGGAACTGGGTCCTTGGAAACCACAAAGTGAAGACACATGTAGACTGTGTGACCAGACCCAGGTGTTCATCAAGGTGGCTTCCCCAGGCCAACAAGGTTAATAGACTTAATGCTACTGAATCAGACACAAAACGTTTAAGATGGTTGATTTTATGTTATGTGTTTGTCACCACCATTAAAAATAAACCAAATGTTAAAAACTAAAGCTTATTTTACTCTTCATATGGAAAAAGAAGCACACAAGCATGTCTAGGAAAATCTTGGCTAAAGAGAAATGAGGGTTCTAAGATATTAAAATGTAAGGACACCCATGTGTGAAAACTCTTAAGTCTCTCTCCCACCCTGGTCCCACAGTCAAGGTTGTTAGCCTCTTGTTGACCCTTCAGGATATGCTGTGTTTACCTCTTGGACTACTTGACTTTGGCAGGCAGTAAATCTGAAGGATGGCCAGTGTGACTTAACCTGTGTTCATGACAGACATCACTAATCAATCACTCATCTCTTTCCCATGAGTGCTTCAAAAAGCCAGTACCAATCGATCTGACCCTGCAGGGAGGGGACACCTACTTCTGCCTATCTCCCCAGGAAATACCTTGTGGCTTAGAAGCAGTCATTGAGTCAAGAGGCACAGAGCTGGGGGCCAGCGTGGGTTTGGTGGGGGTGTCGACCACCCGGCTCTCAGGGCTGGTGGGCCAGACAGTACTGGGGGTGGTGGGGGCAGGATCCACCGTGGGGGCCAGAGGCTTGCTTGCCATGGCAATCGCCTCCAGGATCCAGTCTCGCAGCCTGGTCACTCGGGCATAAACTCCCGGACGCCGGGCTTCTGCACAACCAATGCCCCAGCTCACGATGCCGGCCAGGAAGAACCTGCCAGAGGGCTCCTCACAGACCAGGGGGCCTCCCGAGTCACCCTAGGAGACAAAGCACACCCTCAGGAGGGGTCAGAGCTCCCTGGCTTCAGCCCCAAATCCCAGAGCTGCAGGGTCAGAGAAGGCACTCTGGACAGGGAACCCTCTCCATATGAGCTCACAGAGAAAGTGTGGGCTGATAGTTCACATTTCAGACCCTGTTTCCTCTCCTGTAAACATAAAATAGGACAGTCAGACTATGGGACCGTTAAGATCTCTTTCAGTTCAGGGGCCGGCTGAATGGCTCAGTTGGTGAAGAGTTGGCTTAAGAGTGCGAGCTCTGAGCAATGGTGCTGCCAGTTCTATTCCCACATAGGCCAGTGATGCTGCGCCCGAGCTGAGCTGTCACTGAGCTGCCCAACAGGTGGCAGGATGGCTCTGCTGGTGTAACAACAAGATTGCCTGTTCGATGGTGGGCTATGCCCACCCACAACTAAGACTGAACTTGGCACATTGAGCTGAACTGCTGCCCAGATAGCTCAGTAGATAGAGTGTGAGCTCTTAACAACAAGGCTGATGGTTCGAGTCCCGCATGGGATGGTGGCTATGCCCACCCACAACTAAGATTGAACACAGCACCTGGAGCTTAGAGGCCACAAGCTGCTAACCAGAAACCAGATGGTGACTGGCGCCCTCCACAACGAAGACTGAAGAACAATAATTTGGCCGGTCCCCTTCCCCAATTCCCCAACACTGTTCCCCTCCCCCAATTCCCCAATTAAAAAAAAAAATCTTAAAAAAAAAAAAGGGCCGGCCGAGTGGCTCAATTGGTTAAGAACTCGCTCAAGAGTGTCAGCTCTGAGCAACAGCGGTTCGATTCCTGGCCCGAGCTGAGCTGCCACTCAGCCAACAACATCTCCTCCCTCCTAATCCCAGTAGATCTTTGATAATATCACTCCTTGCTTAGGTTGACAGTATGGCTGCTCTGCTTGAGCCTCCAGACATCTCAATGGTAGCCGTGGCATTCTCCTAAAGTGCCTGATCTGTGATCACACCCAGCCCACCTTGACTCTTACACTCTCAAACACAAGTACTCTCTTATCATTTCCCAACATTTCCTGCAGGTTCTGGTTTTGATATGGCAACCTAAACACATGTAGCAGTCTCTTTTTACCTTTTCCCCACCCACCAGCCTTTAGAAATGAGAGCAAAAAATATAAACTAAAAGGAAAGAAATCCAGAGCCATGCTAAAAATCAAGCAGGTGACACCCTGGTGGTGGACCAGAAACTGACCTCCTCTGGGAAGAGGGAGGCCATGGGGCAGAAACCTGGGGCCCTTTCCCAGCCCACCTCAGTGGGTAGCCCATTGTCTGGGTCTTCTGCAGCACCAGGACTCACCTGGCAGGAATCCACCTTCCCATCCAGGTAGCCAGCACACACCATCTGGTCCGTGAGCGAGTGCCCGTACAGGCTGGCGCACAAGGCCTGGTCCAGCAGCTCCACGGTGGCTTTCTGCAGCATCTCCGGCTTGACCACTGCCAAAGACAGATGAGACAAGCAGGGTGAGCATTCCATGGCCCCAGACAGTCACCCAGAGCTGGGAGGCTGAAGGACAGCACCTCTGTGAGCCTCAGTTTCCCCAGGGATAAGCAGAGCTGCTGTAGCACCAACCTCAGATAGTAGCAAAGAGTAAGCACTCCACAAATGCCCACTGATTATAACATTTCTGACTGGGACAACTAAGATGTGTCCAGGTTAACACCCAAGACTGGGCTCTTCATCTCCTCTCCCCTCACCTGCATCTGCTGTTACTCTAGTCCTACACTGCTGATATCTTTTCTTAGACCAGCAGCCAGTGCCACCTTGGCTAAACATTAAATCAGATTATATTGTGTTTTTCTTCAAACCCTTCAATGCATTTCCCCCTGCCCCAACTCAGCCTAAACACCCAAGTCTGGACTGCCTACCCCAGGGCCTTTGCACATGCTGTTCCAGCTGCCTAGCATGCTTGTCCCTGTGGAATCTGCCCGCCTTCCTCCTTCATCTCCTTTCTCAAGGAGGCCCCTTCTGAACTCCCTATTTAAAATTGCATCCGGGACGGCTGAGTGGTGCGTTGGTTAAGAGTTGACTAGGGACGCCAGTTCTGAGCAACAAGTCCCCGGTTCGGATCCCACATGTGGTCCAGTGATGCTGCGCCCTCACAGCTAAGATGGTGAACAACAGCTTGACCTGGAGCTGGGCTGCCCTGAGTCGCCGGTGAAGGTGTAGGCTGTAGCCCCTGCCGCAGTGGGCTCCCATGAGCTACCATGAGTGGCTGGCAGCCAGCGTGAACTGCCGTGAGCTGCTGTGAGCAGCCGTCTAATGGCTGGCGAGCAACTGCCTCACCAGGGAAGAGCACAAGGATAATACCAACATGGGCTAGTGAACCGACGCCCTCCATAACTAGACTGAAGAACAAAAAGGACAGCAACTTGTCTGTTTCCCTTCCCCAATTCCCCAACGCTGTTCCTGTCCCCCAATTCCCCAATAAAATCTTAAAAATAAAATAAAAAATAAAATTGCATCCCCCCTCCCACCCCATCTCTGATTATTTTCCTCCATTGCGTTCATCACCGTCTATCACTCATCTTGTTTAGTATTTGCTGCCCCTAGAGTTGCTAGGTCCAATACAGCAGCCACTGGCCACATGTGGCTATTTGAATGTAGATTTAAATGCATTCAAATAAAATAAAATGTAAAAGTCAGGTTCTCAGAGGCACTGGCCACCTTTCACGGGGCTGATATCTTCCGTTAGTGGTGGGCACAGACGCAGAGAATATCTGTCACAAAGGAAAGTTCTGCTGGATGACGCTGGTCTGGACAGTGAGCACCACGTGGGCAGAGGTTTCTGTGTGCTTTGCTTTCTTTTTTTTCTTTTTTTCTTTTTTTATTGGGGAATTGGGGGGATGGGAACAGTGCTGGGGAATTGCGGGGAAGGGGAACAGACAAGTTGCTGTCGTTTT